GGCACCCCGGGGGCCGAAAGGGCCCCCCCTTTGTTTCGGCCCCCGGGAACGGGCCCTTGGGGCCGAGTGTGCGTGTAGGGTCTGGGCCCGGGGGTCTGGGGGAACCCGGGAGGAATCTTCTTGGAGAGCCTCCCTGGAGGCCCCGCCTGGGTGGGCCGGGTCCTCCCGGGACCAGAATTCCTCCTGACGTTTCCTCCCCGGCCAGTTCCACCGCCGCGCGGCTCCGGAATCCAGCACCGCCCCGCCCCGGCGTGTCCCCTGAGCCTCCAGGGAGGCCTGTCTCGGGCTCCCAGCCGAGCCCCGAAGGTGTGGGCAGGACAGCAGACCCCTCTGCCCCTCGGACGTAGCTTCCTCATGCAGCTGGGAAGGCAGGAGGGTGTCCAGAAACTCACACACTTTCCCTTGGGACCACCTGCAGGCACTGGGCTAGGCATTTTATACTGACATGTCATCATTGGATACTCAGTGTCAGACCCACTTCAGAGGTGGCAAAATTGAGGCTAAAAAAAGTACAGAACTAGAACAACTGGCAAGTGGCAGAGCAAGGATTTAAACCTGTGTCCGGAAGACTCTAAGCCCTGTCCACCTGACCACACTGTCTTCCACATGCCTGACTCTGAGTGAGGTACCAGGACATAGTGGATTTCGGTCCAATGTGGCTCTGCCCTCTGGCATTTTCCAAAGGTGGTTCAGGGCTGTTGTGGTTAGCTTCAGAACAGCGTGTTTGCCAGTGTTCCCGCTGTGGTTCTGGCTTGAGAGGATAATTTCTTAAAATATTTGGTAAAAAAGTAGATAGCACCTTCGCAGGTGCATCCAAAACAGCCCTTGCTTCCTGTTAATGCTGACATTTTGGTGGGGTTTTATGAGCCTGTTGAAATAAGTGGTAGCTTCCATATTAAAAAAAAAAATGTTTACAAGTAAGGCTCCTTATAGTCATGTTTGTGTTCATTCAACATTTACTGAGCACCTCCTGTATGCCAGGCCCACCAGGGACACAGCTATGACTAAGACAGTTCCCGTGGTGAGGAGCTTGAAGCATCGCTGTAGCCCCTTGCTAGGAGAACTGTAACAAGCCTTCTGTAACGTATAAGAAACTGGAGGCCCAGAGAGCTTGAGTGTCTTGCCCAAAGTCACACAGCTGTGAGTGACAGATCTGGGGCTTGATCCAATCCCAGGCCTCCCAAGTCTGAGCTCCATGCGCTTTCAGATGCTTCCGCAGTCACCCGGGAGGTGATAGGCTGCGGGGGAGGCGGGCAGTGAGTCTTCAGTTACCCAGCCAGCCATGGAAGCCTTTCAGAGCAGCAGCTCAGCACGGACCTTCACACATCTCAGGGAATCCCTGGGAAATGCCTGTCCGCAGTCAGGCACCAGTGTTCATTTGTCCACACCTCTTCCTTGAGACCCTCAGCTTCCCTGGTCTGGCTTGGCCTGAGGGAGGCCCTGCTGAAAGGACCCGAAGTTAGAACTTCCTGAGGGAGAAGCAGGTAAAAGTCAGCCCGGGTAGCCAGAGGCCTCTGGGAGTTGAGCCTCTCCCCAAACAGTGGGGCTCCAGGGGCTGACAGCCTGGATAAGGAGGTTCCCTCTCTGGCAAGGGTGGGGTACAGATTGGGACACAGGGTGGGGCACAGCCCTCTGAGATCCTCCTGGACTCACACCCACCACAGCTGCAAGTGCTCAGCTGCCGTCCTGAGCGGGGCATGGGGATCCAGGAGGTATTATAGGATGGTGGCTCTGTAGGTGGCCAGGCAGGATGGAATTGATCTGCCCTTCTAGCCCTAGTTGGTGCTGAGCAAGTCATCCCCCCTGACTAGCCCAGAGTGCCAGAAGCCAAGATGGATGGGGTGCATGTGCCTTGGCCTTCCGGGACTGGGCGGATGCTGGCTCCCACCACCGCCCATCTCTTACATCAGCGGTCGCCAACCGGTGGTCCGAGGACCACTGGTGGTCCGTGAGGTCCGAAAGGTTGGCGACCGCTGTCTTAGATGACACCTCTGTGCTGAGTGCTCTAACGTTGGGTCCCTGGTGCCCCTGGGGAAAGAGGTGTCTGGTGTAGACTTGAGCCTGAGCCACATTGTCTCTCCTCTGGGGCTGGGGCTGGGGCTGGGCCAGCCTGAGCAATGGACACTTTGTTTCCATTCATCACCTGGGGCAGGACCCAGAAGGTTTACTTTTTCACACCCAGATTGCTGAGCTGCCCAGCCCAGCTCTGCCCCTGACTCACCGAGTCGGTTCCTGGCAAGCCTGTTTCCCCATCTGGGCCTCAGTAAGCTCCCGGGAATGTTCTGGACCCTGTCTGCCCCCGTTCCAAAAGGGGTCAAGGATCTGAGTGAAACAACACCCACTGGTGATGCCTGGAACTTGTGTCTCCTGTGCCCTGTTCTGCCGGCCTCTGACTATGGACACGTGATTATAAATGTGCAATAGACAAACCAGAAAGCATTGTGGGAGCAAATACTCCTAACTCTGTGTGTGGGTGTGTGTGGGTTCCCAAAGAGGCTGCAACTTCATCTCCAGAGGAACACTCATGGACCTGAGAGACAGGCTGAGGGGCTTTCTGAGGCCAGGGTGGGCCGGGCCTGGGGATGAGGGGCCTGCGCCTGGGGCCGGTCAGGGTGGAGTAGGGCGGTGCAACTTCCACTCCAGAGACGCCAGGTGCACAGGCTGGCATCATCCTGAATGGACCCTGGTAACGTAAGGCCCTGGTAGAGGAGGTGCCGGGGGAAGATGCTGCCACTCAGACAGAAGTCCTATCTGAACGCCTAGGGATGACCGCTGACATAGTTGATCAGAATCAATCACTGTTTGAGTCTGAAAACAGCGTTGATTATAATTTATATCGACCGGGGATTATTTCCATGGATTAAGTGTCCCTCCCGTCAGTCCCCAGGCTGAAAGCAGCATTGCTGCTGCTCACCGCGCTGGCCAGCTGGTAAAGGGATACCAGTCCACCTGTGCTCCTCCCATGGGGCCGCCTGTGGCTTTTTGCTAGGCAGTTTCTGAGAGGCTGCAGAGAGGCCTTGCAGATAGCAGTCGGCCCCCAAAGAGCAATTCAGTTTCCATTTAGCCAACACTTACTGTTCACTGTTTCTGTGCAGGAGCCTTTAGGAGCTGAGGAGGATACAGAGCCTGATAAAGGAGTGCATGACCCGTGAGAGGTCACAAGTAATTGCATAAGAGGGCAGGGGATGCTGTTCAGTATTCTGGACTACCCCAGAGGCGAGACCGTCCATCAGTGCCTAGGGCAGCAGTAGTGGAGGGCTTCCCAGAGGAGGTGACTCATGAACTGGGTCTTGGAGAATGACTGGATCTAAGAGCATTCTTTAGAGAGGGAAGCAGGAAGGAAGGCATGGGGTACAGGATGTGTTTGGGGAAGGAGGAAACCAGAATAGGGTTTGTGGGAGGGACTGGTGGGCAGCGAGGCAGGAAAAAATGGACAGGACCAGATTGTGAAGACCCTCAAGTGCTATGGTCCGGAATTTGACAGATATTTACGGAGTTTCTGTTATGCGTCAGATTGTGGGTGTTGGGCCCCAGCAATGGACAAAACAAAGTCTCTGCTCTATTGGAGGGTCCGTTCTAGTGGGGAAGACAGATAATAAGCACACACACAAATAAACATATCACCTGTGCTAAGTGCTATGAGAAAATACTGCTGGGGAGAGGTCCCAGGTTCGATTCCGGTCAAGGGCATGTACCTGGGTTGTGGGCACATCCCCAGTGGGAGATGTGCAGGAGGCAGCTGATCGATGTTTCTGACTCTCTATCTCTCTCCCTTCCTCTCTGTAAAAAATCAATAAAATATATTTAAAAAAAAAAAAAAAGCACACACACAAATAAACATATCACCTGTGCTAAGTGCTATGAGAAAATACTGCTGGGGAGGGAAGGTGCGGGAGCGGTGAATATCGGGGGTGGTCAGGGAAGGCCAACACTAAGGCAACCAGAGGCTGAAGGGAGCAGCCCATGTGGAGATGGGCAAGGAGGCCTTCCAGGCAGAGGGAACAGTACCTGCTGAGTCCCAGAAGCAGGAGCAGGCCCTGTAGGCCGCTGTGGTCCAGGGGAAGTGGATTTCTTTTGGGTTTGTTTTTATTATATTTTAAATTAGAGGAATGACATAGGTAAGTGTATGCTTTATGGGCACACTGTATGGGTGAGAGGTGGGACTGGAGCAGGGCATGGGGTAGAGAGCAGAGGGCAACTTTGAGTTTGAAAGAGGGTTGGGAGAGGGTGAGGCTGGAGTCAGGGAGGCCTGTGAGTGAGCAAAAGCCAGTCATTCATTCTTCCTTTCTTTAATGCATTTTGTAATTTGTTTATTCAACACATAGTCTCTGGCTCTTACTATATCACAGGTACCCTGCAGGGCTCAGGGAAGACAGTGGTGAGGAGAAAGGACACAGAAGGGGGCCCTCCAGGTATTTGCCACTAGCAGGGGGAGAGCCGGGGCTGGGGCTGGGCAGAGGGCAAAGAGCGGAGGGCCACTTTGAGGGTCACTGTTGCAGCAGAAGCCACAGGAATTTGTGACTAATCAGATGTCAGGGAAAGGGACCAGGAGGAGTCATAGTTGAGGGCAAAATGAAATCCTTCTGGGAGGGGCAGAAGCAGGAAAAATAGGGCAGGTGCTGCCTGGTGGGGGCTGCGGTTCCTGCTGTCCCAGGTGGAGCAGTTAGTTGCTCAAGGCCCTGCAGGGACAGGCGGAGACTTGCAGGTCCCTCCTCCTTAGCCCTCGCAGACCCCGCCCTGAGCCTACAGTGCCTCTGCCTGCACAGGCTCTGCTGGGCCATTCCCAGCTGCAGCGGAGGGTAAATCCGTTTCAGGTAGGAGAGGAGCTATTACTGACTGGACGACCTTGGGCAATTACATGGTCTGTCTGAGCCTCAGTTTGAGAATCTACAATATGGATTGATAACAATTTCATCACAAGGCTGTGGTGAAAATCAAATGTGATAAAGGCTGTGAGAAGGCATGGTGAGCAGTCAAAGGATTGGGCCCAAGTATCCATCATGTCTGTGTTGGGGGGAGAATACACGCATGGGCATATACAGAAGTCGGCTTGGGGCACGAATGTAGGACCATTCCGTGCTTGCTATAAGCTGAGCAATGAGTAATGCTGTCTCCTTGTTCTCTTTCTAGCTGGTCCTGAGGACATGGGGACCACGATCAATGGAGATGTGTTTCAGGTAAGCAAGATTCTGCCTTAGCAGTGGTAGGGACTGACAGCCTGAATCCCACGAACTTATGGCCCCATCCTCAATAGGATCAGGGTTTTCAGTCTTCTGGTCACTCCAGTCTGATTAATTGGGATGGGAACACAGAGGTTTTGACATGTTGTTTTTTTGTGGGGTTTTTTTGTTTTGTTTTGTTTTTTTGTCATGTAGGAGAAGGGAATGAGGAATAAAGACCACTAGAGACAGGGATTGGTGGGGTGTGGCCTCAGTCTGCCCATGGTGATGTCCTGCTTACAGAGGGAGGGATAAAGTGGCTCACAGTGGCATGGACTGAAGGAAACACAGGGACCTGCACACGTTGGCCCTCCCGACTGAACTGAGTGGCCATCTCTATCTGGGTATGCCCTTGACCCAGAGATTCCACTTCTCAGAATTTTTCCTAAGGAAATAACTGGCCAAGGACACCCAGATTATCTGCAGGATGATGTATAATAGCAGGCAAACGGAAACAGCCTAAGTGTCCAGCACTGGGGGCCTGGGTGGGCAAATTGGAAACCCATGCTGTATGGACATGAAAAGAAGCCGGCAATATAGTAAGTGGAAAAGCAGCTTGCAGAATAGTATGCTCAGTGTGGTCCTGCTTTTTATTTTAGAAATATGTTTGCACAAAAAATCTGAAAGGAAGTCTACTAACCATTAGCAGTGTTAGCCCCGACGTGGGAGTTGGGGAGGGATAAGAGGAGAGCTTTCACGTTCCTTGTTTAAAAAGCCTTTGTAGTGGCCCTATTCTGCACACACATGCACACGCCAAAACACCTAGTAAGGACATTCCTAGTTAAAGACTGCCTCTCGCTGTGCCCACCTAACCTCCTCCCCTCATATAGACATAAATTGGCTTGAAAGTACTTAGATTGATGAAGAAGTATGTTGCACACCTGAAACTCATATAATACTATATGTCAACTATACTTTAATTTTAGAAAAGTATTGAGACTTAGAGAATTTGGCTCACAGATGGCATCCCCAGGACCCCACAGATGCAACTGTCCTCACCCCCGCAACCCCTTTACTTTTTACCTCCCCCTCATCCCCCCCAGGTGCCTGGGTGGGGCGAAGCCTTCAGTGGATGAGCCTTGACTCCCACTGGGAAAAGGGGTCAAAGGCCCTTGCCCCCTCGGCTTCAGCTCTGCCATCTGCTGAGCCCCCGTGGCTGTGGAGGAGCTGGCCTCCTGACCCTTGGCGAGAATAAACAATACTTTCTTATGTAAGAGGGCTGGGCTGGCACCTTACACAGGGAGCCTGGCCAATTCCTATTTCTGGAAAAGCACTCAACTGTCTGTAGGCTAGGAAGTCAGTCTCCCAGGGCTCTAGGACTTCGTGTCTCCGTGGGTCCGAGAGCCGCAAATAACCAGCATGGCCTCCTGTTCGGTTTGGTAGATCATTGAGACCCGGGCTGCCCCTGCGCTGGGAACATTCAAAAGGACTTTGCTAGACCCCATGGTCTGTGTCCTTCCAGTGGACCTGGAGCTGGAGATACACTTGGAACCACAGAAGTAGCTAGAACACTATGAGGAGGATAATTCTCCTTCCTATAGATTAGATCGGCGGCCTTCTCTCTCCACACCCTCTGGCCTCACTTTGTGTTGGCAGATCTGAGGAACCCTGGGTAGGACTCCTCCCCGATCTCAGTGTGAACTCCCATTCTCACTGATTCCAGTAATAATCCCAGGCATGTTTCTTTGTAAATTGCTTCACATCTGTGCCATCCTAGAAGGGGTCACAGATGAGGCCCGTCTCTCAGAAGCCAGTTCCGTCCACACCTCCCTCCCTGATCTGGTGCCTGTTAGGTTAGGTGGCTCAGGAGGCGGCGCAAGAAATAGAGTCCAGTGAATGAGAAAAGAAAGGAAAGGAAAGTTTATTCTGCGTCCCCGGGAGACCCACGTACCCCCAAAGACAGGGCACGTGGATTCACGCCAACATGGAGGGGGGCGCTTTTTTATACTGCGGTTGGGTGAGGGGCGGGGACATGAGCTGAGGTATTCAGTTGAGGAGGCTTCAGCTGCAGGGGGTCAGCAAGGTATTCAGGGAGAAGGAGCCATCTGTGTCTGGCACGTTGACCTGTGAGAAATCCCAGGTCTGTGAGAAATTCCAGAGGAAGTCCATTGTCTCATCACATGTCTGCATGTATCCGATCCTGGGCTCTCTCCGACCTAACAGTGCCCTTTGCACCTCATCCTTGTAGCAGATCGAAGGTGGGAGCCCTTCCACCACCACCCTCCAGACCTTTAGAATCAAACATAGAGCAGGGGCTGGCTTGTGCTGCAGGTGGAGGAAAGCCTCACATGCCCAACACTTTCTTTTTAAAAAATGTTTTTATTGATTTTTTTTAGAGAGAGAGGAAAGGAGAGGGAGAGAGATAGTGAAGCATCAAGGAGAGCAGAAATATCCATTGATCAGCTGCCTCCTGCACGCTCCTTACTGTGGATGGAGCCTGCAACTGGGGCATGTGCTCTGACCGAGAATCAACCGGTGACCTCTCCGTGCTTGGGGCAATGCTCAACTAACTGAGCCACACGGCCAAGATGCATGCATACCCAACTTTCAAGGGTCCCGGGCAGAGCTTTCTTGCTACTTTTATTGTTGTGTTTTGTTTTGTTTTTGTCGTAGCCTTTGGGCCACTAGGGGGTCCAGCTACAAACCTGATCCCCAACAAGGCCTAAGGATAAGCCTGCCACACCTTTTCCAGTTCCATCTGGCACTGCCAGGGGCAGGGGTGGGAGGCCCCTGCAGCACTCCCTCCACCTGCACAAACGTATCCCTTCCCCCACCCCTTCCATCATCCCCCTTTGAGCTACTTAGAGGAATCAACAGCTCAGCTTAGTTTAGCTTTAGCCGGTCAATCCCAAAGACGGATCTTCCTCATCCTCCTGGCTGTCTCTGGAGTCACAGCACGGGCTCGGCCAGCACAGCCCACGGAGATGCTCCTATGGGGTCCAGCAGAGGGGTCCCACGGAGAGGGGTGTCAGGGAGCTGAACTGATGGAGCCTCCTGCCTTTGGTCCTGGCCATTCCCAACCCCTTCCCTCTCCAGCTTGGGAGGGGCTCAGAGCATTCCTGCAGCCACTGCTGGGTCCTCCCAGGCTGCCAACCCTCCTGGCAGTTGACCTGCTTTCCTCACTGGGCCATTCCTGCTGTAACTCACTCCCCCCACCCCACCCACCAGCAGAGGTGGGGCCAGGAAAACAAGTTCACAGCCGCCAAACGGCTCCTCGGGACTTTGCCGGCAACACCACTGTGCTCTTCTGGTCATGGTGCAGCCTGCCGGCCCTCTCCATGCACATCCTCTACCGGCTACAGGGGTGCACATCATGTGTTACACAGGGTCCCCACCTCACATCCTGAGTGGGATGTGGCCCCTCCCATTTGAGGGGATGAAGCACAAGTGAGGGGCAGGAAAGGACTTCAAGCCCAGTCCCCCTGAGGCTGAGTCCCAGGCTGTTCCTGCGCCCTCCACATCGCTCTGCAGGCAGCCACTCCTCCTGCATGGAGTCACTCACGGCCCCTGAGTGCCAGGCACTGTGCTGGGGCAGTGGGTGAAGAGGCAAATCCAATGTGTGTTTGTCCTCAAAGAGCTCGCTTGTGACAGAGCACAGAGACCGGGGAAGAAGTGGTGGTCGTGCAGGACAGCAGGGCTCAGAGACTGGGTAGTATGAAGAGCTGAGTCTGGTTCTTACCGTGTGTCAGGCACCACGGCAAACTTTACGTGCTGCAACTCATTTCATCCTCCCAACAGCCCTACGACGTAGGTGCTGTCATTGTCCCCATTTTACAGATGAGGAGGATGCATGGAGGGTAAAAGCTCACCCTGCTGACACAGCTGGGAAGAGCTGGGACTTGAACCAGGTGCTGCACTGAATCAGGCAGTGCCACAGGGAGGGGGTGCTGAAAGTGGTGTCGAGGCTGCCTGAGGGGATGTGGGTGGGCCTGGCTCGGGGGACAGCATGTTCAAGGTACAGCGGGTTAGACACTGAGTCCAGGACTTGCCCAGAGCCTGGGGCCCACTGCAGAGAGGAGGGGGTTTGGGGGAGTCTGAGGTACAAGGTGTGGGGCAGGCACAGCTGCCAGCCAGAGCAGGTTAGTGGGCCGCACTGCCCATGGGAAGTGGTGGCAGAGGCAGGCCCAGCTTGGCCAGGGCCTGAGGCCTGGGGCACAACCACCTCAGGGTACAATATGCCCCTGGATGTGCAGCTGCTCCGGGGGGCTGAGAGGAGTACCGGGGGGTCCAAACGCTCTTCAAGGCTGCTCCCCCACCCAGACTGGGGCAGGCTGTGGGGGAAGAATCTGGATGGAGTCAGACAGCCTGGGCTTCATTTCTGGCTTTCCCCAGCGAGACGGCCTTCCACCAGTCATTGCTCTGAGCCAGATCTCACGTGTAAAATGGGGATTAGAGGCCCTCCCCTGCTGCCCCCACAGGTCTGTGGAGAAAAGTGCTCTGAAGCCCAGGAAACCTGTTATCAACTCCTGGCCTAGCCAGAGTGAGCCCAGGCGTGTGTGAGAGAGATGGGGGTGGAGCAGGGGAAGGAGGTGGCGCAGGCAGGAATCCTGGGAAGACAGATTAACCTGGGAGACAAAAAGAAGGCACACAAATCATGTGAACCAGAAGTGAGTTTGGTCCCCGTTGGCCACTATGTGGCCACCGTGTTCACACCCAGAAATTCAGTTTGAATCCTGGCTCTGCTACTTCCTGGCTGGCTGACCTTGGGACTTTGGTGCTAGACTTTCCCTACCTGTAAAACAAAGGCAATAAACCCCACCGCGTGTGGTGGTAAAGATAAAAGAGAACCGTTTAATTGCAAATGCTCTGCCAGTTTTAACGCTCTATAACCTGGGAGTCTTCATTTTAGGGCAGGCGTTGTGGCGATGGGGGGCCCTAAAGGCCAAGGAGGGTGAGACTCCTGCCCGGAGGATCCGTCCAGCCCACCTCCCCCACACCTGGCGGCCTCTCTGTACTCAGTTTCCCAAAGACTCCTGCCCCACGTGGCCCTTATGCTGCTCTTGGCAGGAAATGCCCTGCCCCATCTCCTCCGGTCCTTCTCTGCCCTCAGGTTAGAATGGCCATGCCCTTCCTTGTGCCCCCTCTTTACCCTGACTGTGTCACAGCAGGTATCCCAGCCATGGTCCTCATTGGTTAGGGACTCCCCCTACCAAGCTCCGGGCTGATGGGCTGCCTTGTTCATCCCTGTCCCCAAGCCCGAACATGTTCATTTAGTCAATAAACGTTCTTGAACTCCTCCTATACCCAGGCCCTCCCTGTTCTGGAGACTGTGCGCTAGGGTTGGGGAACATCTGGCCCAAGGGCTGTATAAGGCCCGCGAAATCATTTGGTCTGGCCTTGCCAAGGAATTAGGGGTGAGTTAATTAAATGTTTGACCAAATATAGCAGGCTAATGATTTTTAACACAAAATGAGTTTATCATTGTCATTTCTAAATGATTTTAAATACTTTTAAAATCTCAGTGTTCATTTCTAATGCAGGAAATATTGATATAACCCACATAAATACTAGGTCTGTGGGGTGGATAATTTTAAGAGTGTAAATAGGTCTCAGACTAAAGAAGTATGAGAACAGCTGCATTACCCTGTGGCACTGACAGAAAGCATGTGTGTCCTGGTTAATATACCACGGTAGTGCGAGACACCGATAGTCGGGATTATTAGATACGGAGGGTGCCCTCCTGGTGGAGCTCTGGGGCTCCCCCTCCAGAGTTCCCATTTCCAGGGCGCTCACCGCACAGCTGTAATTTGACAAGTGATTCCGCCAGTTCCAAACGAGCTGATGAGCTGCTGAAAACAAACTCAGTAATTATAAATGATAACCCAAGCATTTTAAGAATTTTAGGCTCTGACTATAATTTCCTAAGACAGTAGGAATTTTTCGTAGATTGGATTTTAAAAATATGACTAGCAAATAACTCACCAAAATAAAAATATCTTCTGAGCAACTAGGTATAAAAGGGGGAAAAAAGCCCGGCTGGCATGGCTCAGTGGTTGAGCATCGATCTATGAACCAGGAGGTCAAGATTTGATTCCCAGTCAGGGCACATGCCCAGGTTTCAGGCTTGATCCCCAGTAAGGGGTGTGCAGGAGGTAGCCGATCAGTGATTCTCTCTGATTGATGTTTGTATCTCTCTCCCTCTCCCTCTCTGAAATCAATAAAAATATATTTTAAAAAGGGGTGGGGTGGGGGGGAATCGCCCATATGCCATGGCCTCCTGGCAGGATACAGGAAGCGGCCCTTTGCTCCCTGCTACCACAGAGGCCAAGGTCAACTTACCAGTGAAGAATGAAGACAACCTCTGCTCTCCTCACTGGCTTTTGTTTACATAGAAACAAAGTCCAGTGTCCTTTCCCACAAACTCTCACGTGACAGGAGGAGGGGTGGCCCCAGAGTTCCGACCCAGGCTCTGAGCAGCACCTGTACCAGGACTCGCCCCCAGGTGCCATGGAGCTCCTCAACAAGACTAGCAGGCTAATTTTTCAGGTGATAATTTTGTATGGCCCTCGAATAATGTTGTAAATATCCAAATGGCCCATGGCAGAAAACAGGTTCCCACCCCTGCTTTATACAGACAAGGCAGTCTGTTTTCAAGGAGCTCACTTTCTTGCAAGAAGAGAGATAGTGAACGCTAAACAAACCTGTCATTTCAGATTGTGATAGGTACCAGCACGAAGATAAAATATGGCGCGTGCACTAACACATTCACAAAAGAAACTGCAGTTGTTTGCAGATGGGACTTGTATGGATTGGGCAGGGATCCTGGCCGCTGGGCCTCAGGGCAGGGCTGTTCTCCCGTGACCAGGGTGGGGCTCACCCAACACAGTGATCCATGTGCCCTGGAAAGGCCCCTCGGGATGTCATGAGGCTCTAACTCAAGTCAGGAAAGAGGAATAAGGGCTCCACCCAAAGTGCCCCACCCAAGGGTGGACCTGACCCGAGGTGCCCGGCTACACCACCCATCCTGTGCCTGCCCCTCCCTCTCCCCAGACAGCCAGAGCCGGGTGTGTGCTCCTTCCCCCTGGCTGCCTGCACCCCTTGGGCAAACATTTACAAAGCACTTCCTCCGAGCCGGGCACACGCTGGCTCCGGAACCTTCATGGTGAGCACACTTGTGTGGGGAGAAGACATTGAACGACACCGACTTCATGACAGTTTTGAAAAGTGTCTGAAGGAGGAGCATGGGAGCCTTGAAAGGACAGAGCAGCAGTTTAGAAGTTACAAACAGTCCTGGCCGGTGTGGCTCAGTGGTTGAGCATCGACCTTTGAACCAGGAGGTCATGGTTCGATTCCCAGTCGGGCACATGCCCAGGTTGCAGGCTCGATCCCCAGTGTGGGGTGTGCAGGAGGCAGCTGTTCAATGAGTCTCTCTCATTATTGATGTTTCTATCTCTCTCTCCCTTTCCCTTCCTCTCTGAAATCAATAAAAAAAATATTTAAAAAATATATATATTATACATATTTTTTTAAAAAGTTACAAACAAGATCCCTAGAAGGGGAAGGCTGTGACCGAGCACAGAGGGGAAGGGGTATGAAATCTGCTTGGGGTTGGGAGCTATTCCAGAGCTTGTGACATTTGAGCTGGAAACTCGTGGGATGGAGTAAGATTTAAGCAGCTGGAGAAGGGAGGGAAGACAATTTCAGGCTGAAAGCAAAGGCAGCCACAGGAGTGGGTGGGATGTGTGTAGACAGGAATGCGTGGGGCGTGTTGAGTGCCGGAGAGGGAGTGGCGGGAGATGGGGCTGGATTGTAAAAGGCTTGGCTAGACTGGAGGGGAGCCGCATCCTACTGGGCTGAGCTCTCAACCCCAACTCTTGGAGTCCCCACCTCTGACAGGAGGGCTAGCGAAGTGGGCAGAGACTTGGTCTGGGAGTCAGACACACATCATGCCTTTCTC